TTATGTGGGGCCCTGGAGATTGCAGGAGAGAGGAAACCTCTCAGCCTTGCCCAGTTTGGTTGCAGAAAGCCTGCTCTCTTTCCAACAAAACGAAAGGAGAATGGCAAAAACATGCAACTTCACTCATCTTCATTCCTGCAAGCAGCAGAAAGGGCAAAAAAAGCAGGAATGAATTTTCTTCCTTCCCTTTTATGAAACTGTTCTTCCCTTCACACCCAGTTAGCTGGGGTGTATTGATATGGCAAAAGTGGGCTACACTTTTGCACTTTTCCATAAACTCAGAACACAGGCAACCAATAAGCCTTGCTTTTAGCTTCAATATTTATTTAGTTTTTAACGCTTCCCTCACAGGTCAAGTGATGTCTGAATCAGCTTTTGGGCTAGCAGCACACTCCCTATCACTGGATCCTATCACTTGCGCCCTACTAAAGATAACGGAAAAATTTGAAGTTCCTGTCTGAATGGATGCTCTTGATGGGTTATTCCCAGTGAGTATGTCCTGAATCAGACCCTGACTCTATAAAATCCGCAGAACATCTACTGCACCTCCTGTAAATTCCACGCTTATCTCTGACATTGATGAAGAAGTGAATTATCTTTTTGCCTACAAATTATAAGACTAAGGAGGTGAATAAACTTGGTTTGATTTTAATAAGATAATTATAACAGAACCATTACTATTATCATAAATATTTTTATAATCTCTTTTGGTTTAGTGTCATTGTTTATTAATACATTCAAAATATTATTATAATAGTGCTCAAGAGCCTCATTCAGGATTAGATCTCATTATATAATAGATGGTGCAAATACATCATAACTGTGGGTCTTCTCCCCTAGTTTTTTAAGCACAATCTCACTTCCTACTTAGACTGTTTTTAAAGAGAATACTGTTGCCACTGGTATGATTTTTGGCTTTTGCAGAGGAACACAAACACTCCTTTGGAAGTCAGATATGCCTCCCTATTATTAGATTTATGTCATAGATAAGAAAGCCACAGTTTAAACTGAATGAACTGTGTTAGTCACACAATATCTTTACACTGGACACTGAGTCAATCACTATTTCTGCTACACTTCTGTGTCGTATTGCCTCAAGAGATTATCCCGGAGGCTACTAACCCTCAAGCTGACATTGTAAGTATCAGTCACTGTTTCTGCGGCTGTGCAAAGGCAAGGCTGGGAGAGGGTTTGTTTTGGATGACAGGTAGGCAACGGACAAACGTCATCCAGCAAAACCACAAGACAGCTCAACCTGCTCCTCCATGCGTCAAGTTGAAAACTCGACAAACACTGTGTCAGTCTTTCCCTTACAGCAAATTTCAGCTCTCTCACAATATTCATTAACAGTTCATTTCCCTGAAACCCACAGCAGGATCTTTTTCCCTCATATTTTCTTTTAGAAACCCTGCACCAAACTTTTGGCATTGATTTATGTGGTGTCACTCTCTTTCATATTAACTATTGACCTGCCCCTAATTTTTACGTAGATGAAATAAAAGAAATGAAAAGTAGGGTAAGAACAAAAAGGTGTAGGTGAGGTACATTACAGTAATGATTAATCCACATCATTCTGGAGCTTTTTTTTTTTGAGAAATATTGCCCAACACAGTCTTGTCTCTTTCCATGGATTTAGGTCCAAATTGTAACTGATGGGAAACTTTTTTCAATTCCCAGAAAATTTTTGAGATTTTAAAAAAACCACAACAGATACATATCCTATTCTACAGAAGGGTAACACCAAACTGGTTAGAAGTTCTATTTTTTTTTTTTTTCCTGAAATGAAATAAAAGAAAATATTACCCTAAAATAGTCTGATTATTATGCAGCTGTCCCGGAACAGAGAAGGTTCAAAATTTTGTACTAGTTTCCCACATCCTGTGTGAGTGTCCTGAATGCAGGGTTGTTGACTATTTTTGAGTGGATCTGTTGATTTTTTTCTGCTCAAGTTCTTTTGTACGGATAAATAATAAAAATGAAGCTTCTCCCCTCCTAGCCCTGCAAATGATCAGTATCTCTGTGGTTCAACTCTTCACTAATTTATACAAAGTGGAGCAGCTCCAAGAGAAGATGCTGAGATGCACACTACAACTGCACTGTTTGAGATCTTTCCCCTTGCTCATTATCATGAGTATGGGGAGATACTCCACCCTGGGGATGCCCCTGTATTGCTATTCTCATAACATTCTCTAAGAGAGGTCAGAAATCTTTCCCAGAGTACACTTCAGTGATACTGGTACACTTCCACAAAAGTCTTTGTGTTTCAAAAATGATTATTTTCTAATGAAAAATAAAATTAAGATTTCTGAACCTCTGAAGATCATGACCTACATTTGGCAGTCAGTCTGAGCAGAGTCAATTGCTATAGGTTTCATAGTGCTACCTGGGCCTCATGCAAATTAGCTCTGAGAATGAAGAAGCCTTAACCAGCTCACTAATGATTCCTCATCAGTGCTGCAAAAGGAAACTTGGCACAGTAAAGAATCGAAAACCTGTTTCTCAAAATGTCTGATTTCCTAACAGCAAGAAAGAGCACCATGGAATAAAGATCTGTACTTTGTGACTCAGTTCATCGTTAAAAGCACGTTGTCCTTAATCCTAGGACACTCATCAATGCAAAGAGCTGATTTCAACATGTCAACAGGCTCTCTTCCCTTTCTTTTTAAAGATGAGGTTTGTTAGTCATCTTTTAAGGTTATCTTTACTAGGTGAGCTAGAGCAGTCCCAATTTCAAAACATCACTTCTATAAGATTTTCTCATCTACATGGGTGTCAAAGAAAATCTTGGAACATACCAAAAGAAACACAAATAACTGTATTTATGGATAACTTCTTTCCTCTTTGTGCACAAACTTGTACCTCGACCCTGTAGCTCTCTCCCAATATCCTACACAAGACCTGCACTGTCTCTTCTAGGATTCAAAACCAAACAAAAATCCACAGAGCTAAGAGCAAACCTGTTAAAGTTCTGCAACTCAAGGTATGACTATGAAGGCAGCAGGCATATACTGACATTGCAGTAAGAGAGTAGTAAGTTGTCCAAGCCTGGGAGACCTGGTAAAAGTAATCTGTGGACTTTCTGCCAGCAGGGAGGGTTTAATCAAAGGAAATTTCCTCTGTTAAGCATTGTAGGGAAGTTCCACCTTCTACTAATAACCTCTCTAAACAGATAAGCATTTTGCCAATAATCACAAATAATTTTCCCATTAGCAATTTACAGGACATTTTCAAACTTTGTACATTTACATAACAACTTTTATCAACATTTACTACAGCAAGCTTGACCTTAATAAAGACTATTTCTTGTCGAAAGTCAAAAAAGAATCATTCAGGATGGCTGCTCATTGCCCGGGCCACGACAGTCTGGACTGTTGCAGTTCCCAGCGGGTCCTTGACAGCAGTGCTGTGCAGCTCTCTCAACTTTTAAATCAACTTGAAAGGGGTCATTATTACATTTTGAAAGGGGCGAATTGCATTTCTCTTAAAATAAATAGTAATAGTGTTGAATCTAAAAAGAACTTTAATGCAGCACCTTCCTTTCATGGTGTAAGAGTGGATTAACAAACCATGTCTGAATTACATCAATTCACATTACCCTCATGTTGTTCAATGCTGACACACAAGGGTAGCGGCATGGCATTTACGGATTGGTACAGTGCACTGTACAACTGATAACAAAAAGCTGTACAGATTACAGGACCTACCTGAAACTATAAGAGCAGTTTAGCTATTAACGTTTTTCCAGGCAAGCCAGTGATGTCAACATGTTGTACAAACACCAACTTCATATCTTGACAAGTATATCATAACATTGTAACTGCCGGCCATGTGACTGCCTACTAACTACTGTAGCTTAGTGTTGATTTAGAGGAAAGGACACCAACTCCTGATTTACGAGCACCTTCTCCCTCTGTATGTTCCTGAATACACTGTGTTTGTGTGACCCAGCATGACTCTTATGTTTCCTTTGAGACACGACGAGTTAAATGGTAAAATGGTTTTATTCTGCTTGGCAACACTTGCTCAGTCATCAGTTAGAACCAGTTTACAAAGCACTGGTTGTTTCTTCATAGCATTTTAGCTAATTTTAAATTAACTAGATTTATGTGTGCAGTTTGATAAAGCAAGTGACGCTGTGCTAGGGCAAATCAGCACTAACATTTTTTTTGGGGTTGTTGTTTTTTTTTTCTTCCCCAGAATCCATTTAGCAACTTTCAGTGTTATGGAAAGTTCATTATGCTCTGGTGCTCAGGTCACAGGAAGTTTTACTACAGCTCAATTTCTTTAGTTCTTGCTTAGAAACAAGACAAGTCTATAAAACAATAGGAAAAAGCCTCAAAAAAGAGGCAGCATAGCACACAGCTGTCACGAGTAAGCAATGTCAGTCACTGCTAAACAGGATTTCACAAACCTATGTTTATTATACCTTCATTGGTATTTTTGTAGTTTGCAATACTTGTTCATTAGTTTTAATTTGCTAGCATTTTTGTATTTTTTATATATATATAATTAGTTTTTTCCATGCTAGTCATACTTTCATAGAGCTCTATCACATGTGATAAACATTTTTAACATCTGAGCACATCTGTTCTTCCAAAACCTGTATCCAATTACCTGGTGCTCAAACGTGGACCATGGAGAAATGTCCTTTTCCACTTCAGCCCAAATCTGCTCAGTAATAGCTCCTTGCTATAAATTACTATTGTCTCCACATTGCTGGTAGAAAATGTTTGAGAAAGCTAATATGCTTGAAATAAGAAGAATGAAGACAGCTCAGGCTGATTAAATTGCTGATCTGAGCTAAAGTAGCTGATTTTGTCTGGAGCATATTAGGAAACACACACAAAAATTACTTCACTTCAAAACAAATTTGTACAGTAACTTTTAGCTGCCTGTAGTAACCTCTGTACCGAGAACCTGAAAGAGGACATCTGCCTACCACTTTAAATAGCGATATTTCCCTAGAAGCTCAAAAGAAGACAAAGTAAGACCTGTGGGGCTCCTCAGTCCTCAAGTTTTCAAGTCTCTGGACTTCAGCCTGAGAACAACTATACTTGTTGCTCTATTTATTCAACTGTTAAACAGAAAAGTAGTAACTTCTCACAAGCTGACACAATGAATGTTTCGTAGCTTTACTGCAAAGTTGTTCCTGCAGCCCCGTAAAAGCTCTGAGATATATACTTTATTGTACAGCTGTTTATTCAGGAACTACTAAAAACATTTTCCTTTTTGCAAAATTTATCTATATTGATAGAACAATTCTTGGTTATATCTGAGACTGCATTAAAAGAGTGAGTACCTGTTACCTTTTCCCCAGAATTACCTTTAAAATTCAAAATATTTTTTTGTTTCACAAAACATCTCTACAATCCAGAAAAAAGGTATAAAAATCCGGAATCAGGAAAATAAACTGAGCACTCATCTATACACCAGACCTTTGGCTACACACAAAGACACATACTGTGTTAGTACAAATGAGTGAAAGCAATTAAAAAAATAGTTTTGGTTTTGGATGTCTGCCTACATTTAACTCTTTTTGTCAACCTCAACCAAACCTAGTAGAGGCGCAGAGATTTCAAACATACTAGATTACGGCAAGTTTCTTGAAAATAAGCCACCAGGCAAACATAAAATCTTCATTAATGTCTCTACTGAGTGGAGATGTAGAGTGTGCTCACTGTACCTATAGAGCATACAGAAGCTGCAAAGCAGAGAGGGCTATGCATTGGTAGGGAAAACTTCCACTGGAAGTTGTATCTGTTTGAAACAAAGGAATCTAAGAGTCAGAAATAAATCCATAGGTAATCAAGCTTTGCTAAGCCTGCTGCTTGCAGAACAATGTTTTCTAAAAAAAAAAAAATCTGATTAAAACTTTTTTATCTAATCATTTCATGCAGTCATTGGTGGTTTATTTAATGTCACCATTAGAATTCTGGATTATTTGTTTTCATTTTTGCCAAATGAAATCAATGACAGTCCTGAATAACCTTTCTTTTTCTTTCTTCCTCTTATAAAATCCAGTTTCAGTACATGGATGTGCCTGCTTCTGCCATAATAATGACGATGGTGGTGACACACACATAGAAGATGCCCAGCTTTACTCTGAGCTCTCACAGAGACTTTCCTCACAAGAGGAGGAGGGTGGTTAGGAAGGAAAGCGATCTTTTTATTTACAAGTTGATAAAATATAGTAAAGGCAAACATGAGAAAATATGGGAGACAGCAACAGCATTATTATTTCCATGAGGAAAGAAATTCCTAAGCAGATAAGGTATTTTCTCCATGTACTAATGCATTTAGTGTTGGAGATGTGCAGTTATGATACAAGTCAATTCTTTCAGGTAACTGATATAAAAAAATGTAGGAGCTGGCTGTAGTTTCTGTATAAAGCTGATTGCCTAAGCCATTTTTGTGGTGTTGGTGCTGAGAAGCCAATAACCAGTGGTAAAGAACAGATGGTATAGCCATTGTATGAAATATAGCCTTTATTTTAAAAAACAAACCCAAATACCTAACTAAAATCCTAATTTAAGGTATGAGTGAATGCAGCTTCTAAAAAATCTTTGCATCTGACAAAAAAAGTGGAATAAATTGAAAAAAAGTACTTGTAATTTTTAAAAGAGTAGTAAAAGGCAGAGAGGAATCGCTGTCCCCTCTGTGCCTGTCCCAGCGGTTACCGAGAGGCTTTTGGTGGGTTGTCACTCTCATCCTTGGCAGCCCTTGCTTCAGTCTCAAAAGCATAAAAGAAAATAATGAAAAGTTTGTATATATCATGTTTCTGAGAATGGATCAAAAATACTTTGCTGAGGATAATATAAACGACAAAGAATGTCAAATATGTAAAAATCAAAGCAGAAATGAAAAAAAAAAAACCCAATGTGATGTAAAAAATAAAGCACAAAATTGAACCCTGCAAGTAATCCAAAACCTTGGGGTTTTTTAAAGCAGGAAAAAAATGAGCAACAATTTTAGTCCCAGTAACAAAATTCGCATGTGGACTTCAACATTTCCAGCAATTGCATTTTAAAATCAAAATGAAATGTCTTGAGTTCTGGCAGCCAACACTGTATTTATCTTGCAACAATTACAGCATCAGCAGTTCAATAGGGCAGAGCTCCTCTACATGCTACTGATTAAATCAGTCCATGTAAGGGAAACACAAGTCTTTCAAATTTTGTCAGGGAAGAACAGACATTTTAAAATATTTTCAGTTAAAATGAAGGTATTGGAAATTCAGATAAATACCATTTTTTTAATCTGTATTATGTATCTTTTATATTTTAGGGACTTCAGTTCATCTTTAAACTTGGAAAAAAATGCACTCCAGCCAATTGTTTTTGAGGGGAGAGAGACAACATCATGGAAGAGGAAAACAATAGTTTAAAATCAGCTATTGTGTGAACTAACAGAAATGTTTTAATAGGAGATAGAAAGATAATGAATGAACGGATTAAGAAGAAGGATGGGTGACTGACATTCTTCCAGCAAGAGGCAAATGCAGATAACCTCCAGTGAGGGCAACCCAAACTCATGGTATCCTGAGCTAAGGAAGCTCATGCAGTGCGTGAAGGAAAGACAGACTAGCAGTCAGCATATCTCCAAAAGTAAGAGGAAATGGAAGCTCCAAGGAAAACGTGGATCCCTTCATTTCCACCTGTTTAGACTCTATTGGGTACCTGTGCAATAAAGAATTAATACTAAAGCTCCTTAAAAGAAGTATCTGTTGGTTTTGATGGCAGCATACGCACCAAGCTTCCCATATGTACAAGAGGCAAGCCTCCCAGGGGAGGGGTGAAAAAATACCAAATATAGTTTATGATGATTATGTTTGATTGTTTTCAAAGTAATTGTTGTGTATAATGAAATTCAATGAAGTGTACATCAGCCAATTGAAAAAGAATAAGGTAAACTATAAAACAAGACGAGATACACAACTTGGCCAGACTCCAGAGTGAGACAGTTAATTTTCCCAAAGGGAATAAGAAGAAAAAGGGAAAAAAGTTATAAACTGAAAAATAGTCATTAGCTCATAAAACTTTTCAACAGGGTAAGAACAGCAGTTAAAGCCCCTGCTCCAGAGAATTCTCCCCCAAAAGTCCGGCTGATTGCAACAGACCAGAATTTCACTGAAAAGCCACTTCACGGAGTTGTCAGGAGTGATAGCAGGGGTGATGTAATGAGGTGGCAGAATGACAGTGCCAGTTGTGTTTTCCTGTTTTAGGATTTGAAAAATAAGCTGCTCTAATGACAATTTGTTTACACCTCAAATGACCTTTTTTTAACTAAGGGTTTTCAACAATTGCCATCCAAAATGCAGCTATTGTTAGCTCTAGTTTGATATAACTCTTTTTTTTTTTTTCCTAAAAGATATTGAGAAATTGCTATTTTAAAGGCTACTTTTGGAAAATTTTCCCTGAGAAATACAGCGTACAGTGCACATTAGTGTGCAGAGCTGCTTCTTGTACCATCTGGAAAATTGCACATCATACATTTGTGTGGAGTTTCAGACTTTTGAGATTAAAAATTCATTATTTCAAAAGGAATGTTTACTTAGTAGAAACAAACTGGTAGCAAGCTAGTACAAGTAAAGTAGCTGAACCTTCTGCTATAAGAAATACTAAATCAGGCTTTGATTATTAGCTAAACTCTCCTAACCTCTGTGACATAACTAATGTAGCACTCTAAATCACATCTTTATCTTAATAGATTCCATAACCTGTTTTAATCTTAAACACAGAACAGTGCTCTGCTTTAAATTCCATTTGGTCTATTGTAAAGAAGGACATTGTTTTTTTGTGGCAAGAAGAGTGCTTTATATTCATGGGTATAGTTTTAACACCTTTTCCTCTAAAACACAGTAAGTCTCTGCAATGGAAAGTATAGAAAAATAAAGGGTTACATCTTGGCTAACAGGTAGGTATCAGTGATTTTAATAGTGCCACACTGATTTACTGCAGCTGAGGATGTGACCCATCGCTTGCATTTGTTTACACAAGTGTAGTTAAACATACAAAGACAACTGAATTCAAACTCATGAGTAAGAAGTTAAATAAATATGTAAAATTAGTCAAGCAAACATGATAAACCACGTGTTCCTGTGAGATTAGACAAGGTAATGAAATGCGCAAGGCAAAAATGAGTGTTTCACATAACTTGCAAAGTTATCTTTAACACAAACCTTGAAATGGCTCATTGTCAACACAGAGTGGGTTTCACAAAGAGAAATAATAGAAAGTTGGGAGTTTTTTAAGAGAAATCATAATATCTTTTTTAAAATTGTATGAGTATTTCCTTAGGAAATAATTTACTTCAAAAAAACTTTATTATAATTCTTCTTTTTTTTTAAATAAAACCAAGCCAACAAATCAGAACTAGGGAATCAGTTCCCCAAAGCAGATCACTCCATGGATGAGTGCTGGTTGCACCAGCTTGTCCCAGCTTAAATGGGGATGCAATTTTGAATTAAAAAAAAAAAAAAAAAAAAAACTTGTGCCCTAAAACATTAGGTATTGTAAAGATTTGACCTCTTTGCCTTGTGAAAAGCCATGCACTGGATCGTGCAGTGATTTCCCCTCTCTGTGAGAAGAGTACACCCAGCATGCTGGGGCACACACAACCCACATCCTTTCATCTTGTTTTTGGCATGCCAGGATGTGCATTTGGGAAGGACAGATCAGATTTCTGCTACTATCTTGGCAGAATCCCTGACCTTGGTTCATGGCTGGTGGCCCTGCTCGCCAGGTGCAGGTGGGCAGTGAACTGCAGGTCAGGCTGCCCCAGTGCATCTGGCATGTGGAGACACAGCACGGGAGAGACTGCGGTGGTGGGCTGTGTGCTGGGAAGCTCGCGGTAGGGAGGTATGTCCAGTGTATGAAATCAGACTAATCTGATTTCCTCCTCTGGTCAGGTTCAGTGAAGCAAGACCATGTGCATCTTTCAGTCACCAGAGTCGTGCATTTTTTCCCTCCTGCACGGGGTATTTGGCCTACAGAATTTCTGTCCTGTAAAACTCTGGGCACAACCCTTAACTTCTTTTGAGGTCCAGGTGTTTCATGACAAAATAAAACTGAAGTGTGAAGAATGCAGTGAAACCACCATCATTTGCCTTGTTCAGAGCTTGGTCTAATTCACAAGCAAGAGTTTTAAAAACCAATCATTGTTGATTGAAGTTTTGTTTTGAATGGGAAAGCAAAACATTAGCTATGTTATGCTGAATCAACTTTGTCAGTATATCATCACCAATAAACAAAATAATACTTGAACATCAGGGAAATGAAAAGTGCAGGATTCAAGGGATGATTCCACACTACTGGTTTCTGGTGGTGATGCTGTCTTAGGTTTTTCTGTCCTTGTTCTGATGACTGCAGTTGTCATTAGCCATCTGCATACTAGCCTTCCTTCGGGGACGCATGATGATACAGACCAGAGGACCAGACTTGTTCAGAATAACTCTGCAAAACCCAGGTTTTTTTAGCCTGACTGAGTTATCACCAGTTTATTCTGTGCCTTTATAAACAATAGCACTGGCACAGGTGAGAAGATGGCCCCGGGGTAGGAAAGAATGGCTTGGGACAAAGTATAGATCTCTCAATGCTGACACTGTAGCCAGGGTATGTGGAGATCTGCTCAGCCTGGCAGCAGAGCTAGGAGGGGAAGTAGAAAGGTTAAGGAGCATCACGGAGTCCTTTAAGGGTCCCTTCCAACCCAAACTGTTTTATGAGTCTATGGTTCTAAATGCAGCCTCAGTAGAATGACCATTCACCAGCAAAACACAACGTCATTAGAATTTATGAATACGCATTTTGACCAATAACATACTAGTGACAATCACTTTGTTTGCAAGCTTGCAAAAAAAAAAAAAAAAGTTTCATATCAAAGTATAACTCTGCACTTTCAATGGAAAGTATAACATTGGGGGAACTTTTGTTAGACTCCAGGCTCTTGATTGCCCTAGGAATAATTTTCTAATAAATGGAAACTGTTCAATCCTTGTGATACAAAATTAGTCATGCTCAGACTGATTCTTTTAATGCTAATTCTTTAAGGTAGATGACAATAAAGCCTAATATTGGTACGTTAAAGTGGATTGGACAATTGGCAGCTTTGACTGTGGATAGGTAAAAAACTAAGCACTTTAAAGTCTTTGAGCACTTCTTGAGGGCTAGGAGAAATAAACTCTCTCTCATCCCCTCATGTTGAAGGAGAAAAATATCACAGCACAGTCTAAAAGAATATGTATGGATCAAGAGTGGGAGAAGAACATAAAAAAAGGTTTGAAGACAAGAAGACAAGACCGATTCAACTGACCAAAGAACTCTAATGTCTCTACATGTTACAGATCACAAACTTGAACTGGCACAAGGCTGCTTTTGAGAACATTGCTAAAGTTTAATAAATAGCGTGTATATCAGGATCTAACAATTCTTTTAGCAATCCATACAGTGCACCACAACTACTCTTGCCATCAACCTCTGTGTGCCAGCAAAAAGGCTTTTAGATTTAACAGAAAGTCACAAGAATGATTGGCAGAATATGACAATCATTAGAAAAGCAAATAGAAAGAAAAAATTACTCAGATTAGCTTCCATCTATTCCAAAGGAACCCAAGACTATAGCTGGAAATGATGATCCCTTTCTTGAGTGCTGCATGTAGCTTGTTTAATAAACATATAAGGAGCCATCCAACAGGAAGCTCAGCTTGCCACTGAGGACTAATAAAATGCTTTGAACTACAGGCAATATGCACACCCAAATTACATACTGCGATACTCACAATATTTCAGCTGCTCCACAAGGCAGAAGCCAACTATTCTTGGCAAGCATCCCCATCACGCCTTCCAGCTCCCCATCGTTCACATGTGGAGTAGTGCCACATCAAAAGAACCCAGTCATAAATTCTATAAATCGTTACAGATGAAGATCAAGTGGAAAAAATATGCAACCTTCTGGAGCAAGTAAGGTTTTGAATTGAGTAGCATTCATCTGCTCAGAGGTGTTACCAGTACAGCTCTTTGCAAGAAAAAGCAACAGCTAAAAATTCACTTTAGATAAACTTACGGTGCTTATCAGTCTAATAATGACTTTTTGTTATACTACAGAGCAAGAAAGTGAGAGTATGGGAAACATGAATGTAATTGTAAAAAATCAAATATCTAACTTTTTATAGACTTTTCTTGTACATTTGTATAGAAGCTTGGACACTAGTTGGTGTCAGCTGGATTAATTACCCATAATACAAAAATTCACAAGACTCCAACTGAACCTGAAGTCCCTAGTGCTACTTACTGCAGAACATTGCATTAAGGCCTAAAATATCCATATTCCAACAGACAGAGAAGCACTAAGAGGCAAAATGAGTTGCCCAGGTCTATACTACATACCTCGTTTGTCCCACGACTGTGACCAGAAGACAAGTCCCTGAAACGCAGTCTGGGATTCCACCTAGGAATCACACTGCCCCAGAAGTGATCAAAATGGTTCAAAGGTACACTGTTATTTTCAAAATCTTCTCTTTGCCTTCATAAAACAAGAATCATTAGGGGCCACATTTCAACTTGCAGCTCTAGTTACATGAGAATAATTTTGGGGCACGATTTGACTTGCAGCTCAAGTTAATGTCATAGTGACGACAAGCTCTCAGAGAAAATAAAAGACATATCTAACTCAAGTGTTCCATAACACTGCACCACCAAGGGCTGTGATACTTGAATGACAGTCTTCAATGTACCCAAAAGACCAAAATGTTATGATTGGGAAGGGAGCAAGTGTTCTGATTATATCTGCTGCAATAAATAAGAATATAGGAGCTTTCCAGTTGAGGCAGCTAGGGCATCAAATCAAAGAATTAAGATCTGCTTGCTTATCATAAGAAAAACTTTACTTCTAGCAAAACAGTTAAGTGGAAGAAAGAATGCCTGAAGAAAGAGAATGTGAGCAGAAATGCAATCTCTATAGCATTCACAAGAATATGATATACTTGTTGCGTTGTCTGTGTGCTAACAAAGGCCGCAACTTGGTGATATAAATATGATTAGTGGCTTACAATAGAGTCATCAGCCAGCAGTCCTGTGTCAGGCATGAGAAAAAGCAAAGTTTGGGCAAAGAAAAGAAAGACGTTGCTGTCACATAGATAATTTTACAGGGGACCGTGCCAGAAAATAAAACTTATTACTAGGACAAAAGCAAGGACATCAAGATTATAAGCTTTTAATCAATATAACCAACAGAATGTAAGCCCTCAGATGCCTGGGTTATGCAGCCAAATATGGCACAGAAGGTAGATGCTGAAAGAAAAGCATTCTGAAAGAAGCTTGTTCTCTGTTGTTCCGTGGAGAAATTCAAAGTGCAAGAAACAGTTGGTTTTCTTAGTTTTGTAATATTTTTTGAAGTTCTAAATTATCATTTAATGAGAAACAGATTAAACTTATTTCAGCAAAATTCCTAATGTTTCCTAACATCTGTTTTTATGTTTAAATACAAAGCTATACTTTTTGTAATATACCACTTAAGCAGGCATTGGCTGTTTGATGGGATAAGAGCACATTTGAACTCAACAGTGAAGCATGAGTGTAGAACACAGGTGTTTCTTGGAACCAGGGACTGTATTCAGCCAATCCACCACAAATGCAGCTCCTACCAACTGATTATATCTGCTGCAATAAATAAGAATATAGGAGCTTTCCAGCTGAGGCAGCTAGGGCATCAAATCAAAGAATCAAATAATTGGAGATTAAAAGTTTTATTATCTTGTTAGAAACTCCCAAATGATTCAGTCCCAACACATATTAGGGCATAGTTAGAGCACATTCCATGGGATTGCCAATTTGTATTTTAAGTGTTTTTGGAAATTTACAGACCACTGATACCCAAAAGAAAAAGGCTGTCATGGGGCAGCACAGAACCACTGTATTTGACATCATAACTCCTACAGACAACAGCAGAAATGTGCTATGTCCTTAGATCCTCACACTTGGTCACGTCCAGAAACAAGACTAAGGTTAATCTTCCCGGATGCTTGAATTCACTCACAGTTTCTCTCCTACTTTAATACAAATGAGAGCATTTTTGGTTTATTCATGATTTGAAATAAGTCAGATTACTTCCATTTACTATTTTAGACAATCAAATAATTCAGCTAGTATCTTTAACAGTAGTTTCTTTTTAACATTAAACTGAAATCACAGCTCTAATTGTCCCCAAAATTCAACAGCAAATTTAGGATTATCTTGCTATATTTTTTCACTGCTTTTTACACAGACCATTGGTTTATATTCTATATACATAAACTTCAGAAGATTTCACTGCACTACTCTACTTTACAAATCCCCCATGGAGAAGCACTGCACAATCTGCCCAGATTAGCATTTTCATCACTATCAATACAGCAGTGTAATGACACAAAAAGCTCTCTAACATGCATAAACATTCAGAACTACTCACCCAAATCCACAACAACAAAGTGTGCAAAGCCAGCCAGTGGTGAGATGCTGGCAAAGAATCAAGCCCTTGCACCATACTGCCATTTAAAGACCTGATATGAGAAAGTGGTTTATCACTGTGCACCTGCAAACATAAATTCTGAGTCTGCCCTGTCATGTCTTACTCAGTATATAAGCTTTACACAAACACCTAATTAAAAATCTCCATGAACATCCATGAGACATCACAGTAGTGTATGTCTAAGTCTAACATTAATTTCTCCTTTGCCTCGATTAGAAATTTCCTTTTAAAACGATTTTAACTCCCATTATTTAACCTTTCTTTTTATGAAAGACTGAAATACAAATTCTCACCAAAGAAGACTGAAATACAAATTCTCACCAAAGAACTACGAACTATGCTTCAAGTTCCTGCTCTCTAACCACACCATGTGCAATTTAAGGCTTTCATGGAAGGCTCTATCAGCTTTTTTCTTTGTTAAGCAGACTAGAATTAGAGAGAAACTATAGCACAAATATACTTTTGTGATTCCACACGGTGCCTCCTTCAGTCTGCGAAAGATTCCTAACAAACCAGTGCATGCTGCAATATAATTAAAATTAAAAATCCCACAACAACTATTATCACACTAATGAGGTAAAGAATAATGTCAGCCAACATCCTCTGGTAAGAAGGTTGAAAGAGTATGGGAGAGGATATATATATATAATGTCAGTAGAGTTCAAAGAGAATGCCATGTTCAAATGTAAACAAATGTAAATCACTAGCAATAAAATTTAAAGTAGTGGTTTGCAGTGATGTCATCTAGCAGTCTGATGAAAACAAGATACAGGCAGTGGAGTGAAGCACATTTGCCCAAAGTTCAACACAAAGGACTGTGTTTTCCCCATACAATTAAACAAAAATAAGTGCAAACAAATAAAAGCAGTACCCAGGGCAGGATGCTTATTAATTTTTTAAAAGCTATTTCTCTGTAACTGGCAATGTATTAAAAATTTTTTTTCTGCTTTCTCTATTGGAATTTGCTGACAGAAAGGGACATTTTTGTTACAGTTAACGTAGTCCCATGCATATAACTTTAATGCAACAAAGAGATATCATTGGTTTTATGTTTTGTCCTAGTTGCATTTTTAATGTTCAGATAAAGAATCTAGAAAAAAAGGGTTTTATTATTCTATTACCAAGTTTAACAGAAAGGTGACCTTTAAAAAACTCTCTGTAGCAACCTCAGTGGATGCCTAACACTTTTTCATTGTTGAGCATTTTCTGAGCTATTCAACTGTCTTACTGAAAATACTTACAAAATCTTTATATTATGCTTTTATTTCATACCCTGTTTTGCTATTATTTCTTTTATTGGAAATTATGCAAAAAAACCCAACCCCCGAACAATGTACTAGATATTCTAGTATAATACAACTATCAGAATTCACAAGTAAAAATTAAACATGCAATTTTTATTCTTTCCGTTTTCTTGAATTCAAGGTGTGCAAGACTGAATGACAGCAGAGTCCTATTTGTTATTAATCTTCAAATGAAGTCATCAGAGAACCTTAAATTGTACAACTGGCTAACCATTGGGCAAGGGTTTTCTAATTTTCCTCAAGATATTGCTGAAAAGATCCTAGATATTATTGTTTATATTGATTAAATGCAACTTGCTTCAGGCTTTAGAAACTATTGCTTTTGCTTCTACTGTTATTAGCATTGA